TATTGGCCACACAATCCTCAACCTATGACCTTGTTTTATTGGAACAGCTCTGACTAGAATCTGTGTAACAAAAATAAAGAATCATAGGCGTAGGACAACTGCAATAATGAAGAGTATGCAACAGAAGAGAGAAGAATGTTTGATTATTAGCTCATTTCTGCCATCCCCAACCCATATGAAAAAGAAAAATGAAAGTTTCAACACACGGCTAAGAAGTTTGATATAATTTCATGCCTCATCAGTAAGATTTCTAATTGAAAAAAAAAGGGACCAGTGCGCTAATCCAACAGGAGTTGCTGTGCCAACATGTACAGAATATACAACTTGAGTGAATTGCTAAGCTTATGTGACACCTTATTGCATCTCAAGTACATGGACACAAAGATGTTAGAACTTGAAAAGGGCTCACAGTATCTTTCATGTGTTGTCCACCAAAGCCAAATTAAGCTGAATCTCGAAAGATGATAAGTGGTGGTAGGAGACAACCAGAAGTTTAGCTCTCTTCTCTAAAGGTAGGGTGCAGAAAATCAAATGCATGTATAGAAAACTCCATTCCACATCTCACAATTTCAAAAATCTGTGTGATCAATCATAAGCAAAGTAAAAATATCAATCTTAAGTTCAAGTGACCCTATATCATAAAACCTTTTTTCCTTCCCTGTCTGCCGTTAATCTTTGTACCAGAAAAACAACACCTTTTTTAATCCAGTCAACATGAAATGGGTAAAAGAGATCCAATAGCACATAGCCCTTATATTTTCCAATTCAGACACTTGTGTCAAATTTATGACCCCAACACCTATTTGAGCACCTGAAGATGTTCTGATTTGCAAGGCTGATCAGTAACAGGAGAGTAACTTCTATTGGTATTTGGAACTTCTTGGAATATGCTCTGTACCAGTGTTTGAGCTTTATCAAGGCAGACTGATGTTTTAAGAGAGAAAATTAGTATAGATAATATTCCGCAAGAATAATTTATAGGGAAGAAAAGAGAAATCAACCGGCTACCTTTTGCATAAACAACTAAATGCATTAAGCTGGCTGAATAATTTTCTTCATAAAATTTGAGAAGCTCCTCCCTAGTATTCAACCCTCTTGCTTTTGGCTGCACCTCCAAAGTATCCCAACTGCCTGTGCAAGAGTCAAATGTTTATAAATGTCAAAAGAAACAATGTGCAACATACAAAGGAGTAACTTCTCTTTCTCTTTAATACAGGAGTACAATAATATAGACTTTTTACGGCACTGATGTTCTGAAAAGAACAAATCAGCTAAAAATGCAGCAATACAAACTGGACAAGTTAACTATATAGGGATTCAAGGTTATCCAAAGCTAGATTGCAAGCCATGTATTCAGATCATATGGAAGACATTACACATCAAATCACAAACCTGTGCCAAATTTGTGGTACGGATGATCTTTAGCACTCAGGAGTACAATAATATAGACTTTTTACGGCACTGATGTTCTGAAAAGAACAAATCAGCTAAAAATGCAGCAATACAAACTGGACAAGTTAACTATATAGGGATTCAAGGTTATCCAAAGTTAGATTGCAAGCCATGTATTCAGATCATATGGAAGACATTACACATCAAATCACAAACCTGTGCCAAATTTGTGGTACGGATGATCTTTAGCACTCAGATGTTTCTGAAGCTGCACAGAAAGTAATGCAAGAATGAAGAAGGGTTTTCTTTCCTCCAAAAGAAAAAGAACAAAAATTTGAAAGAGCTAAACAACACAGCTCAAACAGGTACTTAAACGAATGTACAGGCTCAAGATCCACAAGATAAGAGAGAGAAACAAGCATAACATGGAACAATCTTATTCTAAGATTTTTTTGGATAAAGAGAGAGAAACAAGCATAACATGGACCAGGTAATCCTATACATTGGTTGTACACCTAACAGTAAATCAATAT